GTCCACCCGCCGCGCACCGCGGTGGCGCAGGGCAGCGCCGTCACCCTGCGGTGCCAGGCCAGCGGCGACCCCCCCTTCTACTACCACTGGGGGCGAGAAGACGGGAGACCCCTCCCCCAGGGCGCCCAGACCCGGGGACAAGGTATTGGGGTGGCTCGGGGAGGGGACTTGGGGTGTCCCCAAGGCGGATGGGGTGGGGGGGGATGACAGGGGACGGGGGGTGTCACCCGCCTGTCCCCCCCTCCCCAGGCGAGGAGCTGCACTTCGCCAGCATCCAGCCCTCCGAAGCCGGCGTCTACGTCTGCTCCTGCCGCAACCTGCGGTACAGCAACGCCAGCCGCGCCGAGGTCATCGTCACCGGTGGGTGGTTGTTGGCACCCGAGGGGCAGGGGGGGCACACACACACAAAGGGAGGGGAGCAGGGACTCAGCTCTCTCCCCTCTGGGCGCAGAGACCCCCGGCAAACCCATCACCGTCACCGTGGAGGAGAAGCGGGTGCAGCGGGTGAAGCCCGGTGCCGATGTCACCTTCGTCTGCACAGCCAAGAGCAAGGTGAGGGGTGGGGGGCACGGCGTGGAGAGGGGCAGGCGGGCATCCCTGGGTGCCCATGAGGACATGCAGGACACAGGGACATCCCTAGGCGTTCGTGGAGCCGTCCAGGGCACATGGGTGGCCACAGGACCATGGAGGGCACAGGAGCACCCCTGGGTGCCCATGGGGACATGCAGAGCACATGAGTGCCCATGGGGACATGCAGGGCACGGAGAGATCCCTAGGTACCCACGGGGACATACAGGGCATGGGGACATCATTGGGTGTTCAAGGGGACATGCAGGACACACAGGTGGCCATGGAAGGCACAGGGACACCCCTGGATGCCCAGGGGGCCATGGAGGGCACAGGGACATCCCTAGGTGTTCATGGAGTCATCCAGGGCATATGCATGGCCACAGGACCATGGAGGGCACAGGAGCACCCCTGGGTGCCCATGGGGACATGCAGGGCATGGGGACATCATTGGGTGTTTAAGGGGACATGCAGGGCACACAGGTGGCCATGGGGGCCATGGAGGCCACAGGGACACCCCTGAGTGGCCACAGGACCATACAGGGCACGGGGACACCCCTGGGTTCCCACAGGACCATGGAGGGCACAGGGGACACCCCTGGGTGCCCTTGGAGTCATACAGGGCAGATGGGTGCTTATGGGGACATGCAGGGCATGGGGACATCCCTGGATACCCACGGGACCATGGAGGACACAGAGACATCCCTAGGTGTTCATGAAATCATCTAGGGCACATGGGTAGCCACATGGAGGGCACAGGAGCACCCCTGGGTGCCCATGGGGACATGCAGGGGACGGGGACATCCCTGGGTGTTCAAGGGGACATGCAGGGCACAGAGGTGGCCATGGGGTCATGCAGGGCACACGGGACACCCATGTGTGCCCAGGGGGCCATGGAGGGCGCAGGGACACCCCTGAGTGGCCACAGGACCAAACAGGGCACAGGGACACCCATGGGTGCCCACAGGGCCATGGAGGGCACAAGGACAACCCTGGGTGCCCATGGGACCATGGCAGGCACAGGGGCACCTTTGGGGTGTCTGTGGGGACATACAGGGCACAGGGTGGCCCTGGGTGCCCACAGGGACATGCAGGACACAGGGACACCCGTGGATGCCCATGGGGACACACAGGGCATATGGGTGGCCCCAGGACTATGCAGGGCACAGGGATGCCCCTGGGTGCCCAAGGGGAACATCTAGCGTACATGGGTGGCCACAGGACCATGCAGGGCACAGGGATGCCCCTGGGTGCCCCTAGGGATGTGCAGGACACAGGGACACCCATGGGTGCCCATGGGGACATGCAGAGCACACGGGTACCCACAGGGCCATGCAGGGCACAGGGACACCCATGGGTGCCCACAGGGCCATGCAGGGCATGGGGGACATCCCTGGGTGCCCATGGGGACATGGCAGAGCACATGGGTACCCACAGGACCATGCAGGGCACAGGGACACCCCTGGGGTCCCATGGGGACATGCAGAGCACGGGGACACCCATGGGCGCCCATGGGGACATGCAGAGCACGGGGACACCCATGGGTGCCCATGGGGACATGCAGAGCATGGGGACACCTCTGGGGTGCCCATGGGGACATGCAGAGCACATGGGTACCCACAGGACCATGCAGGGCACAGGGACACCCATGGGTGCCCATGGGGATGTGCAGGACACAGGGACACCCATGGATGCCCATGGGGACATACAGAACATGGGGACACCCCTGGGGTGCTCATGGGGACTTCCAGAGCACATGGGTACCCACAGGACCATGCAGGGCACAGGGACACCCATGGGTGCCCACAGGGCCATGCAGGGCATGGGGGACATCCCTGGGTGCCCATGGGGACATGGCAGAGCACATGGGTACCCACAGGACCATGCAGGGCACAGGGACACCCCTGGGGTGCCCATGGGGACATGCAGAGCACATGGGTACCCACAGGACCATGCAGGGCCTGGGGGACATCCCTGGGTGCCCATGGGGACATGCAGGGCACAGGGACACCCATGGATGCCCATGGGGACATGCAGAGTGTGGGGACACCCCTGGGGTGCCCATGAGGACATGCAGGACACGGGGACACCCATGGGTGCCCATGGGGACATCCAGAGCATATGGGTACCCACAGGGCCATGCAGGGCATGGGGGACATCCCTGGGTGCCCACGGGGACATGCAGGGCACAGGGACACACCTCGTTGCCCATCCAACCATGTGGACCCCCCCCCTCCATGCACCCCTGGGTGCCCACCTCTCCCCGGTGGGTGCCCAAACGGTCCTGCATCCCCACACCACCACCCCCCAGGACCCCCTGCCTGCCACGTGCCCATCCCCGTGGCCTCAGGCCTCTCAAATCCCATCTCTCTCTCTCCCCGCCAGTCGCCCGCCTACACGCTGGTGTGGACGCGGCAGAACCACGGGACGCTGCCCGCGGGCGCCGTGGACTTCAACGGGATCCTCACCCTGCGCCGCGTGCGCCCCGAGGACGCCGGCGTCTACGTCTGCACCGGCTCCAACATGTTGGACATGGACGAGGGCACCGCCACGCTCTACGTCCAGGGTGAGACCCCGGGGAGCAGCTGGTGGGCACCTGCGGGGACCAGGTGGGCAGGGTGGTGGGTGACCAGATGCCACAGCGATGGGCAACCCAAATACCAGGGTGATGGGTGCCCAGACACCACTGTGATGGGTGCCCAGATGTCAGGGTGGTGAGCACCCAGATGCCACAGTGATGGGCAACCCAAATACCAGGGTGATGGGTGCCCAGACACAGTGTGATGGGTGCCCAGATGCTTGGGTGATGGGTGCCCAGACACCACTGTGATGGGTGCCCAGATGCCAGGGTGTTGGGCATTCAGATGCCACAGCGATGGGCAACCCAAATACCAGGGTGGTGGGTGCCCAGATGCCACAGCGATGGGCACACGCAATGCCCAGATGCCAGGGTGATGGGCACCCAGACACCAGGGTGATGGGCATGTTCAATGCTCAGATGTCATAGTGGTTGGTGCCCAGACACTACTGTGATGGGTGCCCAGATGTCAGGGTGGTGGGCACTCAGATGCCACAGCAATAAGCAACCCAAATAGCAGGGTGATTGGTGCCCAGACACCACTGTGATGGGCACCCAGATGTCAGGGTGATGGGCACTCAGACACCAGGGTGATGGGCAGGTTCAGTGCCCAGATGCCAGGGTGATGGGCACCCCAGATGCTGGCATGATGGGTGCCCAGACACCACTCTGATGGCGCCCAGATGCCAGGGTAGTAGGCACCCAGACACTGGGGTGATGGCCACGTTCAGTGCCCAGATACCACTGTGATGGGCACCCAGATGCCAGGGTGGTGGGTGCCCACATGTTGGGGTGATGGGCGCCCAGCACCACTGTGTTGGGTGCCCAGATGTCAGGGTGGTGGGCACCAAGATGCCACAGCAATGGGCACACGCAATGCCCAGATGCCAGGGTGATGGGCACCCCAAATGGCAGGGTGATGGGCACCCAGACACCACTGTGATGGCGCCCAGATGCCAGGGTGATGGGCACCCAGACACTAGGGTGATGGCCATGTTCAGTACTCAGATGTCACAGTGGTGGGTGTCCAGACACTACTGTGATGGGTGCCCAGATACCAGGGTGATGGGCACCCCAAATGGCAGGGTGATGGGCGCCCTGACACCACTGTGATGGGCGCCCAGATACCAGGGTGGTGGGCACTCAGATGCCACAGCAATAGGCAACCCAAATACCAGGGTGATGGGCGCCCAGACACCACTGTGATGGCACCCAGATGCCAGGGTGGTGGGCACCCAGACACTGGGGTGATGGGCACGTTCAGTGCTTAGATGTCACAGTGGTGGGTGCCCAGACACTACTGTGATGGGTGCCCAGATGTCAGGGTGGTGGGCACCCCAAATACCAGGGTGATGGGTGCCCAGACAACACTGTGATGGGCACCCAGATACCAAGGTGGTGGGCACCCAGATGCCACAGCGATGGGCAACCCAAGTGGCAGGGTGATGGGTGCCCAGACAGCACTGTGATGGGTGCCCAGATGTCAGGGTGGTGGGCACTCAGATGCCACAGCGATGGGCAACCCAAATACCAGGGTGGTGGGTGCCCAGATGCCACAGCAATGGGCACATGCAATGCCCAGATGCCAGGGTGATGGGCACCCAGACACCAGGGTGATGGGCACCCAGACACCACTGTGATGGGCATGTTCAGTGCTCAGATGTCACAGTGGTGGGTGCCCAGACAGCACTGTGATGGGTGCCCAGATGCCAGGGTGTTGGGCACTCAGACGCCACAGCGATGGGCAACCCAAATACCAGGTTGATGGGTGCCCAGACACTACTGTGTTGGGTGTCCAGATACCAAGGTGGTGGGTGTCCAGACACCACTGTGATGGGCGCCCAGACACCACTGTGATGGGTGCCCAGATACCAGAGTGGTGGGCGCCCAAATGCCACAGCGATGGGCACCCCAAATGGCAGGGTGATGGGTGCCCAGATACCACTGTGATGGGCACCCAAATACAAGGGTGATGGATGCCCAGACACCAACATGTTGGGTGCCCAGATACGAGGGTGGTGGGCACCCAGATGCCACAGCAATGGGCACGTGCAATGCCCAGATGCCAGGGTGATGGGCACCCCAAATGGCAGGGTGATGGGTGCCCAGACACCACTGTGATGGCACCCAGATGCCAGGGTGGTGGGCACCCAGACACCAGGGTAATGGGCACGTTCAGTGCTCAGATGTCACAGTGGTGGGTGCCCAGACACTACTGTGATGGGTGCCCAGATGTCAGGGTGGTGGGCACCCCAAATACCAGGGTGATGGGTGCCCAGACACCACTGTGATGGGTGCCCAGATGCCAGGGTGGTGGGTGACCAGACATCAGGGTGATGGGCACATTAGTATCCAGGTGCCAGGGTGACGGGCACCCAGTCACCAGGGTAATGGACAGGTTCAGTGCCCAGATGCTGGGGTGATGAGAACCCCAGATGCCAGGGTGATGGGTGCCCAGACACCACTGTGATGGGTGCCCAGATACCAGGGTGGCGGGTGCCCAGATGCCGGGGTGATGGGCAACCCAAATACCAGGGTGATGGGCGCCCAGACACTACTGTGTTGGGTGCCCAGATACCAGGGTGGTGGGCACCCAGACACCAGGGTGATGGGCGCCCAGACACTACTGTGTTGGGTGCCCAGATACCAGGGTGGTGGGTGCCCAAACGCCACAGCGATGGGCACCCCAAATGGCAGGGTGATGGGTGCCCAGATACCACTGTGATGGGCACCCAAATGCTAGGGTGGTGGGCACCCACATGTCGGGGTGATGGGCGCCCAGACACCACTGTGATGGGTGCCCAGACACCACTGTGATGGGCACCCAGATGCCAGCGTGGTGGGTGCCCATATGTTGGGGTGATGGACGCCCAGACACCACTGTGATGGGCACCCAGACACCAGGGTGATGGGTGCCCAGACAGCACTGTGATGGGCACCCAGATGCCAGCGTGGTGGGTGCCCATATGTTGGGGTGATGGACGCCCAGACACCACTGTGATGGGCACCCAGATGTCAGGGTGATGGGCACTCAGACACCAGGGTGATGGGCAGGTTCAGTGCCCAGATGCCAGGGTGATGGGCACCCCAGATGCTGGCATGATGGGTGCCCAGACACCACTCTGATGGCGCCCAGATGCCAGGGTAGTAGGCACCCAGACACTGGGGTGATGGGCACGTTCAGTGCTTAGATGTCACAGTGGTGGGTGCCCAGACACTACTGTGATGGGTGCCCAGATGTCAGGGTGGTGGGCACCCCAAATACCAGGGTGATGGGTGCCCAGACACCCCT